TATTGGTGACGTATGGTTTTAGTTGAAACGTTTTCAAAATATTCTGCTGCTTTTCAAAGCGTTTTTACTTTCTTTTCTCTTCTTAATACACATTCATTCACTACTACTTACATTTAATATCTAACTCATTCAGCCTTCAGCTACAGAAACCATTCAACTATTACATTATTCAGCTATTTCAGGACATTGAGGCTATACATTTGATTGTTTATACTTTTTTTTTTAAATATTAAGCTTCTTCACTATTTTTCCTACTCTTCCAGTTTAACATTTCACTTTCAAGTTTTCAACAAAGTCATTGCAATGCATTTGAGCTGTAACAATTTTGATTCAAATCATTTCACTTTTCTGCATTTCTCCGCTAAGTTCAGCAACACACTTACTTGGTTTCTGTAGCTAAAAGCAGCTACAGAGACCATTCAGCTAATAACATATTCAGCTTTTTCTGCATTTTCAGCTAAATTCAGCAACAAATATACACAGTTTACAGCATTCACACGCATTTTCAGCAGGAAATGCCTTTTCTAGTTTCCATTTAATGCTTCTCTATACTTCTACTCCACTGCATTTCAGAGGCAATATTGTACGTCTTACTGCAGTAGATGTATTTAACACTCTATAATTTACTTTTTATATAAAAACACATGATATCCTGATATAATATGATTATACTACCTATCAATAATGTGTTTAACAACGTCTCTACAATTGGCTCCTAATTTACAAATGACAAGATTAAAAGGCTTGTCCATGTGATACAAACAAGATGATACAATATTCTTTGATCATATAATACTTTGAAAGAGCCATTTTGCATACTTTTACTATTGATTTACAATTAGCAGACAATACTTCCGTACTTTATGTAACTGAGATGGGCCATTATGCAGAATGAGTACTTTTACTCCCCTGTACTTTCATTACATTTTGATGCTGATACTTGTAATGGAGTATTTAAAGACCATAGTATTTATATTTGTACCTACAGTAAGTACAGGATCTGGGTACTTTACCCACCTCTGATACTATCTCAGCTCGCATGCCTTCGTGTGTAAAAGCACGATGGTCAAAATGACGTTTCGAGAAACTTGTGCAACCCCATAACGGTGGCTCTATGTCCTGGTAACAGCACTTATTGTGGAGCTGTGGTAGTTTCTGCGCTTCTCTTAATGGAACAAGTGCCTCTCCCATTTCCCCGAGGGCTCAGCTTGTTCAAACAGAGTTCAAGGCTCTTCTCTTTCCTGGGAAAATTATAGTTTCACAAGGCTCTTCCCTGAAGCTGGAAGCTTTATCTCAGCAGCATGAGTGATGAAGAGATTTATGGAGAATAGTTTTTTGCTCTCTGCTAATATTGGAACAGATGTAGAGAGTCTGTTCAATTTGAAATAAGCAGTCGAAGAAAAAGTACTTGGATGTTTAACTTAAGTACAAGTTGTAATACTAATTTGTAAAAATAAAAAGTAAAAAAGCGAAGTACAGAAGTATTGGCATCAAATTATACTTAAAATACCAAAAGTTAATGCCTTACTGCCCTTTTCAGAATCGTATACAGTCAAATGTATCAGTAATATTTGTACTAGCTTTTAATCTGAATCTGTAAACAAACAATCTGACTTATTTTTGTCAATTGAACGTAGTGGTGTAAACAGTAGAATATTGGCTTGTGTAATGTCATTAGCATAAAACAGAAATACTCAGGTAAAGTACAAGTACCTCAAAATTGTACTAAAGTGCAGTACTTGAGTAAATATACTTTAGTAAGTGTCGGACCCCTGCTTCACATAAATAACCTGCTGTCATTCTAGTGAACGCTTAGATGTGATATGGTAACTTTTAGTTATGTTAGTTCAAGGTAATAAGAAGTGTGTGTGTGTGTGTGTGTGTGTGTGTGTGTGTGTGTGTGTGTGTGTGTGTGTGTGTGTGTGTGTGTGTGTGTGTGTGTGTGTGTGTGTGTGTGTGTGTGTCCTCAGGCGACTGCTGGCTGCTGGCGGCCATCGCCTCGCTGACCCTGAACGAAAACCTCCTCCACCGAGTGGTTCCTCACGGACAGGGCTTCCAGCAGGGATACGCCGGCATCTTCCACTTCCAGGTGACAGCAGCTTCACTTCCTGCATCTGAACACACAACACCACAAAGTATAAAAACATTCTTTCATCAAACCCTAAGGACGTTCACATTGTAGGGGAATTCCTGCAGTTGTGATTTTAGTTTCAGCAGCCAGTAGTTCAGTGCCAGCTCTCTTCATAATGTGTTTCTGCCGACTCTTCCTGTTGGGTCATTTCCTGTTTGGTGCACCACTGGTTTTGCAAACTGTTGGTGTGAAATAACAAAGAGTTTGTTTTCTTCTGGTGTGGAACAGATTATTTTCTCACATTTTTGTTTGTAGTTTTGCTTGACTTCCCATAGCAGGCAGAGTAGTGTTGCGTTCAGGTGCCACAATAGTTTTCCTTCCAGCTGATTCGTTGCTCCTGTGAACAATGTTGTTGTTCTCTCGCTGTGAGGAGATGCATGATGTCGTTTCTCTTTTGAAACTTAGTCACAAGGAGACCCCTGTTGCTGTCTTTTACATTTCTTTCACCTTATTCAAACCTTATTTTGTTTATAGAAAGAAAAACTGAGAAGTTTACAGATTTTTTATTTTTGCTACAGTTGCATGCTATGCAGCTCTTACTGTGATCTGAAATGGCACTGAAATTATAAAGGGATTATAAAGCAGAGAGAAAGTTCAGTGAAAACAATTTTACTATTATCTTTTTAGTAATTAAGCTATCTCGTTCTCCTGTGAGGAATTCCTGATTTCTCCTTTATTACTAAACTGAATCCTTTGGGTTTTTAACTGTTTCAACGAAAAACATCATTTTGCAGAATGGCACCTAGATACAACGAGGTCATTTATGGTTCAAAAATGAAACTAATCTGCAGCGGGAATCATACAAATCTGCAAAACCAGTCCGTCAGGAAGGAGTTTAACTCTTTTTTTCTCCCCCAATAATTTCCCAGAGAGAAAACAGCATGTCTTTCTCATGTTAATCTCCTCTTTTTACTTATTACGCCTCAATGGATCATGCCAGATAACTGACTTCTCAGATCCACGCCCATTCAGTCCGTAATGCAATAAACCTGGGAAAATTTTGAGTCACTGTCAGACTGTTTTAAACACACTCCTAAACCGACAACCATTTCCTTATCACTAACCAAAAGAAGATATTATCAGTGATTTCTAGAGAAACAACTATTGTTAACAATCAAACATCTATGTGTTTAAAGTATCACATCTACTTCCTGAAGGACCACTCCTGACATGAAATAGTCAACATTTAGTCTGTCCTTACGGCGCGAGCATCTGGTAGACTGCTGGGCCTTATCAGCTGAACTTTGCTTTGTACACAAAATACTCCAGACACACACATGAACACACGCAGCATGCACATTGGAAACAAATCATTAGCTGCTGCACAAAGCATTCATGCTGTCCAGTCGGAGATAGGGAAATATGTGTGGTGTAAAGTTATGAGAAGCTCAATTTGAATGTAGTATAAATAACAACCAAAATGAATACAATAGAAAATTACTTCCATAATCGAGAAATGTCATGAAATGATTGAAGGATGGCCTCCATTGGATTCCATTGTTTACTTCCATATCATGATTACATCTCAATGTAACACTTGCACTTTTATTGGCTAGCGCTCAAACCCATGTACGTGATAGGCTAAGACATCACTGGCAGTTGATCACAACAGAGCCGGCCAGCTAACCAATCAGAGCAGACTGGGCTCTGGTTTCAGACAGAGGGTGAAAAGAGGTGCTGCAGCACAGGCAGTATGAGAAAAAGCTTTTTGAACATTGAAGCATGGAGACATGTCACACTAGAGGCACAAAGTACAAATATATAAACCTGAACATGGGCATAGTAGGGCCCCTTGTATAAAAACACCTTATTTATATGATGGCCAATCCTTTGGCTTTTAGCAATCACTTCAGTTTATGACACGATACTTCTTAAGATAATGAACACATTCCTGTACTTTGGGATTAATGCACTTTGAGTTGGCCACCCTCCTTTTGATGCAGATAGAATTTGGCAACCAGACTGTCAGCCTGCCAAGCGTTGACATGAGAGACAGAACAAGGAAGTGAAACAGGGAACAGGGGGGGAGCTCTCATACATCAAAGACGCATATTACAACCCGTAGGAACTGACCCAAAATGTAACACACACACACACACACACACACACACACACACACACACACACACACACACACACACACACGCACACACGCACACACGCACACACACACTGCTCAATCATGGAAAATCTTGAGACTGTATTTGCTCAATTTCAGCTCCGAGGCTGCTGCGCTGACTCATCTAGCATTGGCGGATTAATAAATACCATCACACACACACACACACACACACACACACACACACACACACACACACACACACACACACACACACACACACACACACACACACACACACACACACGGCTCCCATTTCCACATGTCTGCTGGGGCTGGTGTCTCAATTACTGCAAAGTCAGCCGAGGGAGAGCGGAGTATTTGGCCCATTTTTCACCGAATATTTCCCGAGATCTTTATGAATATAGACATACTTGTTCTCTCTGCTAGGATGAGTGGAAATAATACTTTCATTTGCTCTGAAGGCTTGTAAATGCATGCATGTGGTTAATGTACATGCATGAAATAGCTTGTGAAAAGCTTTCCATTTAGTATCCAGTTGCCCTACTTTCATCACTTTCTATTCTATTGTTTTAGCCTCTATTCACTGTGTTTGCATTGCAGCCAAGAATTGTTTTCATTCTTTCCTTTTTCCATAACTTGCAGTTTCTATTTTTTTTCAAGCATGTTTCCATTCTCTGTTCCCTTTTGCGTGCTGTTGAGTCTTCCAGGGATCTCCCTTTGTAACGGTTTGGATCCTGTAAGCCTGTGGATTAATTTCCCAGACCTAGATGAGTCATCCCAAAATGTAATTAGGGCTGCTGGCAGTGTGAATTTTAAATGGAAGTAGGACGGAAAAGGAGGAAGTCTGTGCGAAGGAGGCAAAACAAAAGGAGGGGGAATACATTATAAACTAGGCAGTCGCAAACAAACGAAACAGAACTGGGGCAGAATCTTTTATCATATCCTCATTTCACACAGAAAGTCTGAGCATTTTATTGAATTCTGTTTAGGATTCATCTTGCTTTAAGGCTGCAAGTTATGACACAAATGTGCAAGTTAATTTCCCCCAGTGAGGCTGGGAGATAAATGCTCAGCAATGTGAGTGTGACAGAGTAGCATGAAATGTGTGTGTGTGTGTGTGTGTGTATTGTGTTGTCTTCAGTCAGCCGTGTTGTGACACAGTTCCTCCCAGAGGTGGGTTCAGCTCTGCAGAGCAACTCATCCATCTATCGTCCATGTTGCTGTACACACACATGCTGACATGAGGCACAATCTGTAAAATCACATATACATGCACACACACTCAAGCTGTGGCTTTTACGTGCTAAATGACAAGCGTGCAACCTCCTTCCCCACTCTTTCTCTGTCATACAAACCTAATTATGTTGACAAAGATATATTTCTTTCATTACACTGTAACAGGCTTATCCGGCACAGGCCCAGGGGGCAAAGAGTTCATCAAATATCTCTATAATCGTCACAACACGACTTCAAAGAGACTCTTAATGGCCAGAAATAGACGCAAAACAACCAAAAATATACTCTTAATGTATGCAAAACATCCAAAAGGACTACAAATAAATATATAGACTAAAAATAGACACAAAACAACTACATGATGCTAAACAACTACAAATAGATGCAAAACAATCCCCAAACAGTTATGCGGTTCCGATCAAGATATACAAACATCAATATGAACAGAGAGTTACACATTTCACATTTATGTTAGTTAGTATTAAAACACCTTCAAACAGTCATAACAATTTAACATATCACATTTAAATCTTACGGCCCGTCTACACTACAGGCATCGAAAAATGCTTTCAACGCTTCGCCCATTCACTTGAATGGGGTGACGTAGAAGATTTTTAATCTTCGCCGAACTGCATTGTGGGGAGCATGGCATGGCTTTGCAAGCATCACGAGCATCTATCGGCATCAAAAGTTGAACAATGTTCAATTTGCATTTGAAAAAGGTGAACAATGTTCAACTTTTGAGGCTCGATGCTTGGCATCAGCCAATCAAATCCCGTTTATGCAAATCCCGCCAGTGCAAGCGCTAGCCAATCAAACCGCGTGCAAGCTGGGAGCTTCAGACATGCCCAGCTTCAAGATTTTTTTATGCCTGTAGTATAGACGGGCCGTCAGTTTAGCATTACGCTGATTTCGGTTTAGCAACACCATAGTCTTACGTAAAAATATTGTTATTTCAGCCTGTTGTGTTTAAAGAAATACTCTTTTGGAGGGTAGAAGTTGGTATTCTCTGTTTAAAACATGCCAGAAGTCAATCGTAGGACATCGTTAGCAAGTCTGAGCATGCACAGGTTGTCAGGTGCTTGAAAGCAGTGTGCCATATGGCCAGTTGTATTTGCATAAAAATGGATTTGATAATATAGTTAACGGTTTCATTTATAGGTTAATGTGCCAGGTCTTACTGCAGCCAGTAAGTAAAGTAAATGCTGTATCTTCTTACAAATCATTTCTATATGATGAGTCTGTGAAAGAGTGGAGTCTATTACAACACCCTGGTTATTGTTTAAAGAGACTTCATAGAGTACATACAGAATATATATGTTGTTGGCCTCTTCTGCCCTCTGCTGGCCAACAGCCACACAGCAATGTATTTGTATTTTAATCTCCTTTTGAAAACATTTCAGAGAAACTAACCTCTCTTTTATTAACCTGAGTTCCCCTGCTGGATTTCAAGCTACATATCTCAAAACCAGTCCTGCAAGCAAACTGTCGGTTTACAGACCAAAGCAGCTGGGATTTACTGCACCTTCTTTACCTTCAGTATGTCTAGTAATGATGCATAGCAATCAGGCGAGCCTACATTTTGAAGATGATGCATCAGGAGACAAAAGTGTTTCAATGCATCAGGTGAACTGAGGTTGATGGTTTCAGGGTTTTCTGAATAGTTTTCTCACTTTATGCTTAAATACCACGTGGCTGTGTGCCTGTTGGCCAGCAGGGAGCAGTGCATCTAACTCAACATCAGAAATGTATCCTGAAGCAAAGTATTTGAATAAAGTTCATTTTGTGACGAGCCACCATGTTCCTGTAAAGCTCAGACTCATCTCTGTGTGTGCCGGATGTTCTGGCATCAAGGTGTAAATTACATTCTGGAGATGTGACATGGCTTCAAATAGAGGCCTCCTAGTCTAGACTATATATACACTAATGCTGCTATACTTTAAAACGTTTACCCTCCCCTTTGCCCACTTGAACTGAGAAACTTTAAAGTCCCGAAATGGATAACTCCAAACTCCAGCTGTTAATGTAGTTTTTCTGAAGAGCTAATTGAGAATGTATCTGTCCTCTTTATTTTTCACATTATTAATGGAAAGTAAATGTACTGAAGAACAGCTTTTAAGGTACTTATTAAAATAATAAGCTTAAGAAAAACTCACTATATCTCTCCTAGTCCTGGGTTTGATGAATGACCGGCAAGCTATATAGTGGAAATACATGACTTTATCTCCCTTCAATAGTTTGTGTATCTTTTGTAAACTTTGTCAGTTTTAATATTGGTGTTTTCTCGTGTCTCTCGTACAGTTCTGGCAGTTTGGCGAGTGGGTGGAGGTGGTGATCGATGACCGGCTGCCGGTGAAGGATGGCAAGCTGCTGTTTGTCCACTCGGCAGAGGGGACCGAGTTCTGGAGCGCACTGCTGGAAAAGGCCTACGCAAAGTAAGACTGACGGACGTCACAAACTGAATAATGCTGTTTAAATGCCACTATATCAAATTCATATTGTTGTTGCTACCAGCTTTAAGTTGCCCACATCATACCTTGAATGGTAGCTACATTTGACTACATTTTGGTTCTTTTAAAGGGGACATATTTTATTTGTAAGGTTCATAATTGTGTTTGGGTTTCTAATACAACATGTTTGCATGCCTTGATGTAGAAAAACACATTATATTTCTCATAATTCCTGTCTAATTATATCCGTATTTACCATCTGTTTGAACTGCTCTATTTTAGTGCCTGTCTCTTTAAGAACACTTAAACAGCCAGGTTTGCTGTGATTGGTCAGTTTTTATGCATCTGCATCACAACTGCAACAGTGTTTTAATAATTTCATACGATTTAAATGCACCTTTCCCTGCAATTGTACAGAGTGGGACGATTGCTGCTTTTTCGTTCTTAATATAAACACAACATAATGAATATGGGTCTGCTCAAGTTGTACTCTCAGTATTTCACTCTCAGTTGGATGATCCCAAGTTAAGGCCTGTTGAGGACCGTAGTTTGAGGCACGACTTTGTGCAATGAAGCCTGTTGGTGGAGAGTTTCTGGATGTAGAAAATCTTTCCTTGGAACACCATTGACACACACTTGAGACTGCAGCTGCTCTGGTGCACAGCTGTGGTCTCAGTCGTAAATCTGGTTAGCTGTTATAGTGAATCACAGCATTGTTTGAATAAGTGTCAGCGTGCCAAGTGAAGGGGGCTTCCCAGTTAAGAGCAGAGAAGAAACGCTAAGAGTGTGATGTAAAAGCAGGATTTATGCATTGTAACATTTACTGTATGAAGGTACATACTGTATATGGTAGTGTCGCACAGTGTGGAGCAGTAAGTGTTTATTAACTGTTCCCCCTTAGCAACGGTCATGTCTATAGATTCCCTTTAAGGCCTGCAAGTATATCTAATATTCCCATTTGTACTGTATTTGAAAGAGTTGTAATCCTCGTTAATCTCGTGTTGTGTCCCAGGTTGAACGGCTGTTATGAGTCTCTGTCAGGGGGCAGTACGTCCGAGGGCTTTGAGGACTTCACGGGCGGCGTGACGGAGATGTTCGATCTGAGTAAAGCCCCCTCCGACCTCTACAGCATCATCAGCAGGGCCATAGAACGAGGGTCGCTGCTGGGCTGCTCCATAGACGTCAGTACTGCAACTTTCATGCTTCGGCTTTGAAGTTATTTCCAGCCTTATATTTACCATATATACATGAGAGTGGTATCAATCTTATTCAGGCAAATAAGCATTTACTCAAAACTACTCCTTTAACTCGTTTGCGATTGACAGTTCAAAAAGGACAGTTGTATTTCATACGATGAAATGCCCTTATCTAAGTTTGTATTAGATTTAAGCAACCTTTTTCTTAGTGCTCCTTATTGAAATGTCCCCATTTTCCTAACTTCCACTCACTTTTCTCTTTTTTTAAAATTAGACTCAAAGTTATATGATACAGTACTGGAGTTATCAGTTAAATCAATTCATTAAACAACACATTTCAAGTAGTAAAAGTACCAAAAAGGTGATTCTTTAATGTGAAGATTTTTCCTGCTTTTTCTGTTTGGATCATCTTATCTCTTATTCAGAATCAGAATCAGAATACCTGTATTAGTCCCACAGAGGGGAAATGTACGTTGTTACAGCAGAAAAAGAGCCACAGACAGCTAAATGTTACATTATGTTACATGCATTAAAAAGTACTAAGTAAAAAAAAAGTTATGATATAAGTTATTCACTTCTCTGTGCTTTTTGTTTAATTGTAAAATACACTTCAGGTAATGTTTTATACCAAATAATTTGCGAGAATACAATCATTATCAATTGTTTAATAATGAAAACAGTAGGTTGTAGTGCTTTGACACTTCTTACAAATCCAATAGGTGACAGTAAATATTTGTATTATCGTATATAACACAACACATACTTTAATTTGACCCCCTGTGAGGGCAGGTGAAAGGTAAAAAAATAGCCAGACATGCTGACCGTGGAAGTCCAATGGTTGGGAGGATTTTCACAAGGGGGGAGGGGGAACCAAACAGATTAAAATTACGTTTACATCATGGAATACAGAAAGTGTATTTAACTTACTACCACTTAAAATAGAGAATTGTTGTTGACAGAAAGTCTTTTTTAACCTCAGTTTCAGAGTATTGGTGAATTTAGAAGTAAATGCTGTAAATGTGAATACATGTAAGAAAAATGTGGTGTTGAGCCAGGAGAGGGCAGCGAAGATATTGAAACCTGTTGTAAAAGCTGTCATGAGATCAGCACATTTTTCCAGGACACGGGGTGTTTGCAGACAGAGGGGACTGAACTTCGTCTGTCTGATCATTTTCTGTACTTACCATGCCTCCCTGTGCTGCCCCGTCTGGGTAGGGAGGACTGCCATTCCAGGTCATTTTGGAGTAAAAGACCCAATACCAAAGTTTAAAGAGCTTTCTGTACCAGGGATGGGGAAATACTGTATAGAGCTCAACGACAACAAACAGAGGCAGTTTATTTGGTTTACAAGGTTTAAAAAATTGGATAGAAAATCTAATCTAATGTATTTATTGATTACACTTTTATTTATCACATTACACAAACACAACCGAACATTCCCCAACATTGGACATGTGGCAGATTACAGAATAATGCAAAAAAAAAAAAGTATAAAATGTGTAAGGGAAACTTCTGCAGCAATGGAGAGTCAGGACTCAGAGAGACACGAGGAGAGTTGGAGCTTTGATGTCAAACACTGGTTTTTATTACAAGTATCGGCCGGAGCATTTCACATCACAACTCACAGCAGCCAGAGGTTCTGACTGCACGGGTGGGTTGCCACATCAATTCTGCCCAGCCTCTCTCTCGATAGACCTTTTAACTAGTTTAATGAATTAGATTTAGAGATAATTAGAGTTAATCTACATATTGGGGGAGAACGTAAACATCTGGGAACACTGGAGATAGCCCCAACGTCTGGAGACACTCAATCACTTGTCTGACTCTTAGGTTCTGTGACCGAGAGTTGACCGGTCATAAAACTAATATCAACATTATAGCTGAGGCCTCCCATTCCTTAAGACAGATAACAGAGTCAGGGTTGGTCATACACGTCAAAAAAGCAGAAAGGTTAAATATCTTAGGAGTAAGACAGAATTATTCTCTAACAAAATCAAAAGTCTGCAGATGCTAGAAATCCGTTTAAAGTACAGACCAAGAATATAATAACATTTGCAAATTAACAAATTCAACAAAAATACATTAAAAGCACATCCACAAACAGAGCAGAGTACAGCTTTCAATTCTCCAAATAGATGTCCTCACAGTAGTTTAGTCTTTTCACTTTAACCGATAACGAACAGTCTTCTGGATAAATGCTTAAAATACAAAGTTTAGGTTCTGAACTGCAACTTTTACATTTATAGTTTGCATTTTCTACACATTTAAAAATGAGTTTAAACACTCATTTATTCAACACTGTTATTGTCTGCATTGTCTTTGTTTGCTTAAGAAGATCTGCGCTGTGTCTGCATGGCACTTACTTAACTGAAAAACATATCCACTAAATAAATGACCACACGAAAATAAGAAAACCAAAANTAATACATGTACCCATAGCCGCTACTTCCAGGTCCGTAACTGGGTTAAACTAAATGACCCTTCATTTCCCAAAATTCCTTCCGGATTAAATAACTGACTCAATTCTGGAAACTCTAACAACCGAAAAAGGTCTGGTTTCAAGAATTTACAATTCCGAGTCAGTTATTTAATCCGGAAGGAATTTTGGGAAATGAAGGGTCATTTAGTTTAACCCAGTTACGGACCTGGAAGTAGCGGCTATGGGTACATGTATTATTGTTATTATTCTTTACTTCCTTATATTTTGATATTTGAATGGTTTCTGTAGCTGAAAGTAGGCTGAAGTTATCGGACGGCAAAATATTGGTTGGAAGAAGAAGAAGAAGAAGAAGAAGAAGAAGAAGAAGAAGAAGAAGAAGAAGAAGAAGATTAAAGAACAGAATAACTATGGTGGACAGCGTTCCATTAATAAGATGAAAAGGATACTTGAGAAACTTAGTTAGATTCCAAAACAGAGATCTGTTTTGTGTTATCTAAAAGCTGATTGGTCTATTCTCATATCTTGAAAGTCAAAGGAGCTTTCTGTTTCATTATAGCTGGTGTTTATACTGCTGGTTAATGATACACAGGACTTTTATATGAAAAGTAATTATGAAATATGGCTGTATTTACACTCGTATCTATCATATAATCCCCTGATAGCAGAAGGTGGCTCAGCCAACAGATAGCCTCGTGGATAAAGATATATCCGGCTGTAAAACAAAGTGAAGCATCGTGTTTTCCGGCTCCACATTTTTGGGGTTATTGTTTTGCAATACAGCCGCTCCTCTGTGAGTGAGGGGAGGGGGTTGAGGCTGGGTAAAGTATTGCATTTGGAGATGGGGGATGTCACTTCCTCCACTCAAACAGAGAGGGGGAGTGGCCTTGTTTACAGATGTGCGGCAGAGAAACAAAGCATGAATTATAGATGCAGCTCTGTGTCGAGCAGGAAACATCTCAGGCTATGAACTGTTCACGTTCCTTCAGGCTGTCCATCTCCATCTGACACTCTACTGCCTCTTATCAGCCATGCTTCAATTCTACTGTACGCAATATGGCTATGGTCTTA